GATGGATGGATGGATGGATGGATGGATGGATGGATGGATGGATGGATGGATGGATGGATGGATAGATATCACTGATAGTTTGATTTTCTTTTTACCTGGTGGAGTGTATGCATCCATGGAGGTTTGGACCACGAGCGACCGCCGCTTCGAAGGCATCGGCACCGCCATCTTTCTTTCTTTATGCTTCGCCAGGGCAGCCTGCACCGCCTCGGTGTGCACATCTGGAGACACACAAACAGTTCATTTCACAGGATAAAAATGATTTTTATCTCACAATTTTTTTTATTCACAGTACAAACAAAATCATTATGTAAAAGTGTGCATGTTGCTCTCCCAAGCCCTGGACTCAAAATGTTTCGATTTCTGTGAAAACAGCCGCTGTTCTTAAGTGCACGAAGAGACGAAACGAAGCGGAAATGCTACAATTTGACTTAAACATGCGTAAACCAAGCCCAACTCTCGGCGTTAACGTGGTCACCAGAACCAACGATGCTAATGAACCGTTTGATCACCGACACTCAGAAACAATACTTTATTTGCAATTGGCAGGGATGCATCATTACAAGTGAAAATAATAATAAATAATACATAAATATGCCCAAAATCAAAAGTGTAGAGAAAATGCATTCACAGGACAAAGTAGAAATAAACAACTTGAATAAATGTTTTGCAGAAATAAAAATACAAAACTAAATAAAGAAATAAACGCAGGCGTAAAATATCCAAATGTACTCTTATCACAATTCATTGACAAGTTATATTAATACATTCATTCTCTTGGCAGTTTTAGTAATCTACTGTTTAAAGGGCTAGTTCAGATATTTTAGGTGAATACATATCTTCTCTGTTGTTAGCACTTTAAACAACTTCACTTTAAATAAATAAAGTTAAATTTGAATAGACGGACGAGTAAACGATTTTCACTGCTGTCAGTTTCTATTTTATGTTAATTCCCGTGGATTTTCCAGTCAGATGTGCTCCAGTCGGCACCAGAAGTGCCACTATTTACATTTGCAAATAAGCACAGATTTCTATGTAGCTAACAATGTGATGCAAAATCAACGACAGCGTCAAGTTTTTGAAGCAGTGCTGTCATCAACTGCTCTAATCTGAAAGAAATTGGACTTATTTTGAGGAGAAATCAATTACTTTAGTTAAAATCACTTAAATATTTGCTCGTTTCTGAGATTCTGCATGAAAAACCCGAGATGAATCTTTTGAGACGTGACTAAAACAGACGATCTAAACTGTTTGGTTTGCAAGACTTTCCAAAAACGACAGCATAAAAGTAAACTTTTTTTTTTATCCTCGTCTTTTTCTGCAGTTTTAAGATGTTAAACATTTGGGATTTATTTTGTAATGAACAAAAAGGTGTCCGGCGCCTAAATCTTGGAACGTTAAATAAAATCCACCTTAAAAACTATCAATCAGAGATGATTTCTATAGTACTAATACCAGCACTTAGCTCATAATACTTTTGTAGTTGAGGTATTTTAACTGTGGGACTTCTCCTTTGTATTTTCCAGCTGAACACAGCAAGGCTGATTACAAAGGTGAGAGCTGCTGACACCTTTCTCACATTTCCACCACAAAACAGATAAAGTGAATTAGACTGGATCAATCCATGAGCAGAAAAGGGGAAATCAGCAGCAGGACCATTAGCTGACCTGTCTGTCGCAGCGTTTTCATTACACTGAGCGCCATCACATCCAGTCCATGAGCACAGTCATCCCCCGGCTGACAGACGCTCCCACGAGGCCTTGTGGTTTCCAACTGGATCAAACTCGGGGAGCGTCGACGAGGACGTTTTGTAAATGAGTGTTTCTTAAAGCACCGAGACGGGACCACAGCTGGGTGTGTTTGAGCGCTGCTTATTGCCAGCAGAAGGTAAACGACGGCAGGCTGCGAGCCCAGTGATGACAAAGTGAGACATTAGTCGATGAACGGGCGCTCACATGCACGTTTATTCAGCGCGTGCGTGTGGAAAGGAAGTAAATCTGTTGTCCTGTTGAGTCAAACTGCAAACAGTAACACGAGGGTGAGACGCCTCCATTGTTCCCTTATTACGGTGGATCCGAGGTGTAAATGAACATTTGAAAAAATGGAATTAAAGTTGAAAAAACAACAAAAAACAACAAAATCACAACATTTAAAAAAAAAAAACGAATTACCTTAAGGCATAGCGGAAGAGACCGAAGCAGAAGTGGCCCGAATCACATAAGAAAAAACAGAATTATATTTGAAAGAACAGATTTGAAAAAACGGAATTACATTAAGCCAAACAGGAAGTTTTTGTAGTTTTATGCTAAGTGAAAAAAACAAAACAAAACAAAAACTCCTGTTTGGCTTAATATAATCCAGTTTTTTTTCAAAGGTCATTCCGTTTTTTCAAATGTAATTCAATTTATTCTAATGTGATTCAGGTCGCTTCCGTTTTGGCTTAATGTGATTGTTTTTTCAAATGCAATCCCGTTTTTTCAAATGTAATCCCGTTTTTCTAATGTGATTCTGTTTTTTCAAATGCAATCCCGTTTTTTCAAATGTAATCCAGTTTTTTC